CCCCCCCCCCCCCGCCGAGATTTGGACAGTTCCCATCGTGAGGGTGTTCAGGATGGCCTTAAAGACGTGGTTGTTCTCCCAGGCCTTGGGACGGGGTGGATGGAACCCCCCTTGTTAAAAATGATCTATGTGTTTTGTTTTTGTGTTAATGTTGTTTTCTGGAATGTTATTTCTCTTATTGTATTTTTATTTATGTTATATTTGTATTCTGTTTTATATTGTGAGCTGCCCAGGGTTGTTCTGAGGTTAGGCAGCACTAAAATCAAATAAATAAAAGCTGTTTGAAAATTATTCTGTCAAATTAGGAAGTGTGATTTGAATACTACAGATCTATTGGGACAGTACATTTAGAAAATGTAAAGTAATGTGTTATTTTTTACAACAAAAAGTATGTTGGCACATTAGACTAATTTGTAGGATTGCAACAGACTAACACAGGATGCCTCTGAAAATGGTTACGTTATTGTTCATTGCTGTTTTAGGTAGCCTTAATCTTGAATGCACTAGAAACTCTCCCTGCGAGGAGTGCTTCAGGTTCATCATGATACATTTCCATCCACCTCAACTGTGAAAACTGGAGTATGCAGAGAGGGGTCTTTGAAAAACTCATGATGTAGTAGTAATATTAAAGCAACTTCAGTGGGGAACTGTAGCTGAACTCCACTTCGGCTGTTGTAAATTATTGTATCACCACCCCTTTCTGTGGCTGAAGGAACAGCTAACAAAATTAATTGTCCTCATTCATGAGGGGAAAATTACTTTGACATTGCTTATTAGCATGTGTTTCCCACTCTTCTTCCTAGAAAAAGATATAGACACTTTATTGGGGAATTTACTAATGACAAACCTCAGTTGGTCACATGAGCATGTCTCCCTAAAATGTGGGCAGAGAAGCGGTTTAAGAAGGAAAATATTATTCTGCAGTACAGGAATGATGGTTTTGAAGTCTTGGGCCAAAAATTAGATTAGAATCATATCAGTGGGAATCATTGAGGTTACAGGATGCTCTAGTGCTGATGTAAATGACATATACTGTAAGAAACGGTCATAACCAAGAATTCCCATTTGCAGTTTTGCTATCTTTTATACAATTTATTTTTAAATGTCTCTAAATCTATGGTAAATCTGAAGAAAGAAAGGCATGAAAAGAAAAGACATCACAGAGGGCTAAAGCAGGCATTTTCCTTTTAAGGATTTATGGGAGAGGCTGCTCCTTTTGGTTAGATAATTTATCATCTCTCCAAACTGGGGAGATTTATCTGAAGTTGGTACAGGGCTTGACTATGACACAACCTGCATGAACAAAGAGGTTTAATGTAAAGTGAAATTCTGTCACTACACTCCTTTAGTAATCCATTCTTACTTCATTCAACTTTTATGCTTCTCAATACCCACATTTCACTTCCATATAACAAAGGACAGATGTATACTTTTGTATACAGACATTTTTACTTCTTTAGACGAACATTCTTTCCTTGCAGCATACTGTATATTAGCCTTTGCTGGTTAATGACTTTAATAAGGATTACCTATCTACATATTAGCCACTATCTTTTTACCAGTATTTGCCAGTCTTAACATTTCCTCATCCATCTTCTCATGTTGGGTAACATTCTACCAAGGTACACAAATTCATATTTGCTCTAGTTTTATGCCAGTTCTATATTTTTGTAATTCCTTACTCCATTGTCCTTGTCAGACACAACGACCCTGGTCTTTGGTTCATTAATCTTCAGATTCCTACTCTTTTGCATCATATGGTCTAATATTCACTGCAAAACATTCAGGTTGTCAGTCAGTAGCATGGCACAACTTGTATAAAAAAGTGCAGGCACATTCATGTCCTCAACCAATACACCTCTAATATCATTGCAAACATTCCTTATGTATTTGGCCATATATATTTCTTCTTATTCCTTATATATTTCTCCATTACCCCACCAAGAGGATCCCCCCTTGCCAGAACCCAGGCTGTGGGAGCCCTATCTCTCTCAAATGCTGGGATTAGAGGCAATATTCCAAGAGAAGGCATGTCCCTGGAACTACTAAACTGCTACATCAAACCCGGAGGTGGATCTGGGCAGCATAGACTCAAAGGATTCCTGGGAAAGGAGATGCAAGACCTCCAACCTTTTACCCTATGAATTCAGCCTTTCCCACATATAACAAACTAGTCCTCCTGTACTTTTTGCATTTCCTCTTGGTAGCTTTACCTTTGTATAAGGCATTATTCCAATTATGGTGGACAAATGTAGTTTTATACTTGTCAAAAAAGTTGGATAGCAGTTCTGTAAGCAAATCATATCCAAATGACATCCTTTTTAGCTCTAATTCATAATTAAACTATGTCTTCACTGCATGTATTCATCAGCTCACTCCACAAGATCAGGTCATCTTCATTCACATTGATTATATATTTTCTCTTCATTTCAGACACACAACATATCTATTTTTTTCTCTCATTGCATTTGTTAATTTGTGTTCTTTAACATTTAGTCATAGTCTTCCATATGCATGACCATCACTGATACGGATACTAGTTTATGCTGCCCATCATGGCCTTTGGTCAATCAAATCTTTCACATAATACTTTTTAGTAATATACAGTAGATAAGATTTAGATTAGGTTATCAGCCTTATTTGTACAGTTCGCTTCTACTCGAAACCTGCTTACATTATTCTATGTAAACTAGGAATAAGAGGCTACTTTTCAAGCCAGCATACTGCTGCTTATTTCCTGCCATGTAGTAAGTATATGCAATATAATGATGTGTTCATCTGTGTTAGACTGCGCTGTTTAGTTTATTTTCTTGTTGCGCAGATAACATAACCAGCATAGAAAAAAATAGTTTTAAAGTCTAGAGTGTTCTACACAACAGGAAAAAATTATATTCAAGACAGAAGACCATGATTAAACAAAAGGATCAGAATGAATTCACATATTATGCTAAGCTACAATGTGCTTTGGCTGGTGTTAGCTTTAGTGTACTAGGTGAATAGTTATGTCCCATTATGTGGTAGTCCTTCAAGTTCGAAGAAGACACACTGTTGTGCAGTTTATCTGTGGACATGGAAGTGGTTCTGCAGTCCCAGCCTGGAAGCGCAGAGTCTAGCACAATGGGGGCACTGGAAGTCCATTGTTGTAGTAACTGTGGGTGTTATTCTGTGACGCCACTCATGGATTTCTATCAGTTTTTGGTGGCGCCTGTCTTCAAAGACACTGGAGGCTTTGTAGCACAGGGCTCGCCAGTGGGTTCTATCAGCAGCCACAGTTTCTAGTTCCCTTGGCTGGATGACACAGTGGTATAGAGTTTCTTTCACAGTGTCTCTGGAGCATTTGTGTGGTTGAGCTCAAGGTCTCTTCTCAGACTCCACTACACTATACAGCAATTGATGAGGCTTACAGTGGTCATCCATTCTGATGACGTGCCCCACTCACTGCATCTGGGCTCGGATAATCAGAGACTTAGTGCTGGTGGACACCATGTAATCCAAGACCTCCAGGTTGGAGACATGGTCTTGCCAACAAATGCTGAGAATGGAGCAGAGAGCACACATGTGAAATTTCTCCAGTTGTTTGATGTGCCCTCGGTACAGAGTCTGGGACTCACATCCATATAGGAGAGAAGAGATAACCACAGCTCTGTACACTTTCAGCTTTGTGTTGATTGAGCACTCTAGTATGCGGCCGCCCCAGTGCCTGGCTGGCCTTGCTGATCCTGGAGTCAATTTCTTTGTCCAAAGACCCATCACTCAAGATGTTGCTTCCCAAGTATTTGAAGCTGTTTATATGCCCCAGTGCCTGGCTGGCCTTGCTGATCCTGGAGTCAATTTCTTTGTCCAAAGACCCATCACTCAAGATGTTGCTTCCCAAGTATTTGAAGCTGTTTATATTTGTCAGCTGGGTGTCATTAACAGTGATTTTTGGTTCTACAGGATTGGTATTTGGCAAGGGCTGGTAAAGTACTTCAGTCCTGTTCAGGCTGATAGCCAGGCTGAAGAGCATAGCAGCGTCTGAGAATTTGTTCAGCATCAACTGTAGATCACTGTCTTTGTGCACCAGGAGCACACAGTCATCAGCAAAGAGGGTTTCTTGGAGGCACTTCATCCATGTGTTCAAATGGCAAAGGTCAAAGAGAGAGCCGTCCAGTTGGTACCTGATGTATGCTCCCTCCTTTAGGCTCTGGACAGCATGTGACAACATGCAAGGGAAGAACAGATTGAACAGGACTGTGGCTAGCACACAACCCTGTTTTACTACATTGGAAATGGCAAATGCAGCTGATGTAACATCATTGTAAAGAACCTGTCCTGTCATTCCATCATGTAGTAGCTGAATCAACTTCATGAATTTCCTCAGGCATACATAACATCTCAGGATGATATAGAGAGCCTCCCTGTTTACACTAGCAAATGCCTTTTTCAGGTCAGTGAAGACAGAGTAAAGAGGCTTGTTCTGCTCAGTGTGCTTCTCCTGGACTTGCCTCACAGGCAAATATCATGTCTAATATACTCCGTTTTGGCTGAAAGCCACACTGTGCCTCTGGGAGGTTCCGTTCCAAAACAGTGACAAGTCTGTGCAGGACAATGCAGGCAAAGATCTTGCTTGCAATGGACAGCAGTGAGATACCTCCGTAGTTTCCACAATCTGATTTGCTTCCCTTATTTTTGTAGAGAGCCACAATGAGGGTATCATGGAAGTCATCAGGCATCTCCTCTGTGGACCAAATGTCTTCCAAGATGTCTTGGAATGCCTGTGAGGCATTTGGGTCTAGTGCTTTGTA